TAATCTACTAGGTTCCCGAAGGACTCTCTCTCTCTCCATGCTTGGCTCTTTTGACCCCATCAATCAAATTCCCTAGATCGCGCATATCCAACAGCAAGTAAGCTTTTGCCAGACTTCCTCCTTCACCGTCGTCCATGCCTTAACAATCCGAGAGTCTCTTTCTCATCTTCCCTTCTAGCTCCATCAGTCCTTGTTCTAATTATTCCAATCATTCTGTTGATATAGTGGTAATCTCCTTCCATTCCGTTATCGCCTCTATGTTCACTTTGTGTTGCTCCAGATGTTTAGCTTCGGACTCAAACACCCTTTTGCGTAGCCTCTTGTACTTAACCTGTGCCTCAGCCACTTCATCTATGATCCTATCCTTCAGACTGAGTCTTGGCTTGACGTCTCCCACTATGTCGTCATCCAGCCATGATAGATAGTAGTACATATGACCGGCGTGATACCTGTCTGGCTCAATAGTTTGTCCTTCCACAATGATCTTTTGGTTCCACATTTGTTGCGCCTCGAACTTGAACAGAATTACATCTCCCTTGAAATCTTTCTTGTACTGGACCATGTTGGAAACTTGAGGTATGACTTGTTTTCTTCCAGCTTGTCTCATTACTCTTATAGGAGCATAAGGGTAGAAGCCTCGCAGCTCGATTAGTACCAAATGAGTAGTTCCCCTTGCTCGAATGATGAACTCGCTGCCAGGAAACCATTCGAACATCCAATGTATCTGCTCGTCTGTCAGATTGCTGAAGAAACGCACCCAACCTACAACATTTCCAGGCTTTGCAAACCTGTCTGGAATAAATGTTATTTTCTTTGGGTGATGGTTGGCTATGTAGTCATTCAACGGCCTTCGCAGAAGCTCTTGACGGTACTCTCCCCTCTGAAAGTGTTCCAGCAGCCAGACTTGTAGCAATATATTACAACCCTCAAAGTGTCCAAACCCCTGCTTGCACTGATCTAGTGCGCGGTACATCTTAGCTAAGATCATGGGGATGATAGTGTAAGTTTGTCCCTCAATGCCATCCTTTAAGGTCCTGGCGACCATGGCTAAGCGAGTATGAACCCTTCCTCCTTTCATTGGAAATATCAACAACCCCAAGAAGCAGACAACGAACACATAAACCTGGTGGTGCACCCATCCCAAGAAAGTAATGGCTAGTTCATCATGGTGAAGACGATACGACTTGCTATGCCCATAACGCTCGTAAAGAAACTCAAAAGGGATGAATGATTTCTTTAGACAGAGCAGTTCATCATTCTGCTTAAAACCCAATATTTTTAGGAAATCGCAAGGAGTGTGATTCTCTGGTCCCAGTAATCCCGGACTATCCCATAGCAACTTGGCGAAACCTCTTATTTCTTCTAGGAGAGGAGTCATTTCTATATTGCCAAATCGAAAAACAGCTCTTTTCTTGTCCCAGAACATGGTGGCGGCCTCGATCAGCTCCCTATTTGGTTGAATGTTCATCAAAGATGGCAGGTCACCAAGTGCTCTCCTCACATGATTTTTGTCACAAGGTGCAAGGTCTTTCTACCAGTCAAGTAGCAAAGGCGGGATGTTTTGGACCATACCAAACCTGGGATTTCATGCTTCATTTTTCTGCAAACAAACAAAGGTTAGTCCTTTCCCCCTCCAAATTTGACTACCTACGCAATAGCGATCAACATGTAGGCATATTTTCTCCAGGTAATGCAAATAATATGATAGATTCCATTGGGATTGTGGAAATCCTGTCGGACTTTGGACAAGTTTCATATTAGCGGGTTGTTACGTTATCAACGCTTCAACCCGTACTAGGTTTAGAATGATACATGTATATTTCAAATTGGAGTAGGGTCTCCAGAAGGGTCTAGACTAGTACTCCAAAGTGTAAAACTTGAGAGGGAAAGACACAGGATCGTCGACTGTACCGCTGATTGACTAGTCTACCGCAAATAAGCCTTTCCGATTTAAAAACGGGTAATTTCAGGAAAGAGCAGATACTCATCAAGCGCTACTATGTTGATAATTGGCACGAGTGGAGTATTATGCGGAGCATGCAGTTTGCAGAAATAATAACACATTGCCAAGTATTTGCATGATAAAAGTACGTAAAAGCAGTGAATAATATAGCAAAAGTGAACATGAAAAGATGAGAAAAGAGAAGAAAGACAAAAGAGAGAAGTCGACTTAGCTCATGAAAATATGCAAGAACGTAATGAAGCATGTAGGGAAATAGGGACGGGAGAGTCATAACATAGCAGTCTTAGACAAGATGAAGGAGATGGAGAGAGGCCATACATGTCATAACAAATAAAGGAGAATAAGGAAAGGGATGTGCATGTCATAGAAATTTAAAATAAATAATGGTGAGTAAGGAAAGGGATGTGCATGTAATAGCAGTTTAAAACAAATAAAGAAAGTAATCCACATATGTCAAGTTCATTACGGTAAAAGCCTAAGTATATCCCCAGCAGAGTCGCCATGTTGTTACGCCCTATTTTCTCTCGAAAGCGAGCTTCGACGTGTGAAAACTCTTTAAATGGGTATTAAAAGAGAAGAGTCGCCACCTAAGAATTTTTTAAGGTGCGTTAGGGAACCTATTTGCAAATAACTCTGTTTGACTAGTCAACGCCACCAAAAATCGGGTAAGGGCTTAAATTACCTCAAAGAGAAGGTGTTAGGCCCTCTTCGAGGTCCACAACTGTGGATCCCGGCGAACTTTAAACTATGTGGATTATGTAGTTAGATTGGGTGATCAAATAAATAGAAGGGAAATTCAGAAGTTGTAGAGTCTTATTAAAACATATGAGAATCGGTACAAGTCTTAATAACTACAAAGATACAAACTACATTGATCTATGTTAAATGACTAAGTGCACATGAAAAAAAGAGGGGGAGGGGGGTCCTAAGTTTTTAGCCTAAAGGATCACCCCGTACAATATAAATAATACTTCACAACTCCCATAAGGTAGAGGTTGCTCGGATTATTCAGCGAGCACAAAATATCATCTCCTGCTACCCGATTACTATGTTGAAGTTGATTACTTAAAGGCGCTCTAATTCAATTCTAAGTCGTACCCTATGCATGCACTATCCGTCCCATGCCTACGGTCCAGGAGGCTTTGGACCTACTATTAGGTGGTTTTAGACTTTACTTAGGTTGCTCAAAATGATAAAACTAGGTGACATTCAAAACAGATAGGACTGCATACAATAGCAATAAGAGGCTCAAGTACATCCACACATAAGCACGAAAGAGCTCAAATAGATTTCTGGTTAAGCAGTAGACTGAATTAAGACTTTCACCCTTTCAGGCTCTTTATGGGTTTCCCCTCCCCGAGATTCCTATGGGGTCTTTACCACACCCCACTCACACTGTTGTTGGAGCATGTTTAGCTCAAGATAGCAGATGCTTATGCATCTTAAAGACAATTTGATGCAAGCTCAAGCATGAATGAAGTTTTATGCAGATAAGAACTGCACAAAAAGTGTTTTGGAGGTTGGAGATTGGGTCTACCTTAAACTCCAACAATAGAGACAGCCTACAGTAGATGTCAGAAGAAATCTAAAACTAAGCGCTAAATATTATGGACCTTACAAGATCTTACAGAAAATAGGGACAGTAGCATACAGTTTGGAGCTTCCTCCAGGCTCTCAGATACATCTAGCGTTCCACGTCTCGCAATTGAAGAAGAGAGTAGGTCCTACCATTAGTGAGCAACAGCAGCTGCCGGTGTGTGACTCAGGTGGTCGAATCTTGATCCAACCTGTGGCAATCTTGAGAAGACGACTGGTGAAGGTCAATAATGCTGCAGAGGTCAAGGTATTGGTGCAGTGGGCAAATTGACCCAACAAAGGCAACGTGGGAGGATTGGGGTTACACTAAAAGTCGATTTCCGGATTTTGTTGCTGGCTTCGACCTTGAGGACAAGGTTTGTTTCGGTCGGAAAGGTATTGTAATGAATGAGGGTTTGGGGTAGGTTTGAGAAGGAAAGTAGATGAATTAGGAAAGTGGCGTAGGCGGCTGATACACGTGGCAGCTTATTAGGGAATAAAGGGTTATAGCTGGAGATCAACATAATTAATTGCACGGTGGAGATTCTAGGCAGATTAATAAAGATCAAAGGCCAAGATTATTCCACACTCTAACTAAATACCGTTAGGGGCAACTAGCTGGGCAGTTATGATCTGGTATTTCCAACTTCCTCTTCTCTCTCTTCGATTCTCTCTTCTCTTCTCTCTTACACTCTGTATTCTCTTTCAGGTACAATCCGCCATGGAAGTAGATTAGAGTGAGCTTGTGAAGTTTAGTGTTACGACTCTACATTTCTAGCTAAAGTCAGAATTGTAACAATCCATATTCAATAATAAATCCTTCCAATTTTGTGTCATTCAATCTTCTTTACTTCAAGTATATTACAGTTTGGGTCTATTGTCACAGTTCAATTTGTAAGTAATCTTAAATTATACTCAGTTTCAATTTTGAAAATCTTGTCTAAACAAGCTGGATAATCATTTTGCTGCCATAATGTACAAAAACTAACAAATTGCGTGGCTTTAGCTTATTCTAATTACGTGTACAAAGTACAAACTCCTACTAAGTTTAAAAATTTGCATCAAAGAATGTGAAGCACAATTATGTGTATTAATTAGCCCTTGACATCAAACATTCAACTCAATGGTTCTCAACAGAGTAGACCTTCAGGAACCATCAAAATTGTATCTATAACAAGTTTAAAACAAACAATAACCACCCACCCAGTATGATTCCACAAATGGGATCTGAAGATGGTAGAGTGTATGTAGACCTTACCCTCTACACAAAGTGGAGAGTCATGTTTCCAATAGACTCCGGCTTAAGAAAAGCGTTTCCAAAATACAAGATGATGAAAATACTAACGAAAAGAAAAGTATTGGCAGCAAAAATAATAAATATAACCAAAGTAAAAAACACATCAGTAATAATAAAGTTAAAAGAAACAAGATAAAAACAAAACAACAAAAAATGCTAATCATGTCAAGAACAGAATGTACCATCACCTTTGCAACAAACTTTGAAGTCATTAGACATAACTTGGCTCTGCTTATGAGTGAAAGCAATCCTTTTCTAGCAAATTGCAACTTACGATGAAGAAATAAAAACAAATGAAAAGGAGTCATTCTCGACTAATATTGCCTAAATCAACCTCTACATGTCAAAAATCAATCCCAAAAGGATATAAAAAGGACAGCCCGGTGCACAAGACATCCCACATTCACGTAGGGTTCGGAAAAGGACACAACCCTGTTAAAAAAAACATTACTCTACTTTCTTACTAGGGTTAATTGTTTGGTATTTTGCATCATCTTGGATAAAACTCCACCAAATATAAGTCAGAGGAACTGTTGTAGCATGCCAAAGAGAATGTGCATCTATTAGTCCTGCATATGGAGGAAAATCATAAATTTCTAAAAGCATAGCAAATCCACTCCCTACAACCACTGTCCATATTTTCCATTTGGATGGATGATTACTGATTCCAGCCCAAATTGCCCAAATCAGAAGCTGAGCAACACCCATTGTAACACAAACTTTTATGTTCCATCCTGAAAAAAATTCCAAATAAGTATTTATATAATATCAAAATGGAAGAGTTATAGTCATATAACAAAGCAACTAGAAGTACCAAATCAATCCATTTTTTAGCAACCAGACAAACCTTGCAAGTTTAAACGAGTTGAGTTATGACCCAATTTGTTAACTTGACCCAGCAAGTTGAACGCGAAATGATCCATTAAACTGTTGTGTTAAACCGAGCCAACGTAGTGTAACTGTGATGACCCGGCCGGTCGTCTTAAGAATTTACGCCCCGATCACCCATTAACTGCTTCCCCTAAGTTCATTTCTGCTATTTTGGTTTGCCGGGACGTTCGGCGTTGAGTTTCGGAGAGCTTTGGGACACTTAGTCCCTAAATGAGAGCTTAAGTGTTGAAAAGTGGTCCGTAGTCGGAACAGTGTGAAGACGACCTCGGAATGGAAATCCGATGGTTCCGTTAGCTCCGTTAGGTGATTTCGGGGTTGGGAGCATGTTCGGAATGTATTTTGGAAGTCCGTAGCTCATTTAGGCTCTAAATGCCGAAGTTTGAATTTTATAAGTTTTCGGTCCGATAGTGAGTTTCTGATCCGAGGGTCGATTGGAATTCCAGAAGTTACAGTAGTTCCGTCATGTCATTTGGGATGTGTGTGCAAAATTTCAGGTCATTCGGACGTGTTTTGATTAGGTTTTTGATCTAAATCGTATTTGGAAGAAATTTGAAGTTCTTAGGCTTGAATCTTTGATTAAATCAGCTTCCGGTGTTGTATTAGGTGTTTTAAGGATTGGTACAAGTTCGAATAAGGTATTAGGTGGTATTGGTGCTTTTCGTTGAGGTCCCGCGGGCCTCGGGATGATTTCGGGTGGTTAACGGAGGAAATCTCTAAGTGTTGCAGCAGCTGGTATTTTTCTTTCTGGTATTTTCGCTTCTGCGGCCTGGGAACCGCAGAAACGGAGCCGCAGAAGCGGCCTTGGACGTCGCAGAAGCGACTTTTGGTCACCCTCCAGGAAACCGCAGAAGCGGTAGGATTTCCGCAGAAGCGGGATCCGCTCCTGCGTCGCAGGAGCGGAAGCTGGGATTTTTAAAGGGAGCCGCAGAAGCGGCCAGTGCTTCGCATAGGCGGGACCGCAGAAGCGGTCCCTAGACCGCAGAAGCGGTATTCACTGTTCAGAAATAGCAATTTCGAGAGTTTAATTTCATAAGTTTGAAAAATCGATTGAGAGCTCGGGAGAAGGCGATTTTGAGTGGGTTTTGAAGAGATAATCATTGGGTAACGTTTCTTTGATCCCTTTTTGTTATACTTTATCATTATATAGTTAAATACATCATGGGAATTCGAATTTTGGACCAAAAATTGGATAATTTGGGGTAAAACTTCATTGGCTAGACAATTGAGTTTTGAGTGGGCATTTGACCTCCAATTTGGGAGATTTTTATATGGTTAGACTCGTGAGAGTACGAGGGTTCTAAAAATGTGAAAATTATTCAATTTCGGGGCGTTGGCCTGAACGGCATTTTGGTCATTTCACCTAATTTTACGCCGTAGCTTTGAATTTATTAGCAAAACCAGGTGTTTGCGATGTTATTTACAATGTGTAATTGAATTGAATAGATTTGAGCCATTTGGAGTCGGATACTCGTGGCAAGAGCGTGGCTTCTAGTTGATATTGAGCCGGTTTGAGGTAAGTGGCTTGTCTAACCTTGTGTGGGGGACCTTTCCCCTTAGGACATGATCTTTGAATATTTGAATGCCTCGTACGTGAGGTGACGAGCGCGTACTTGAGCTAATTGTTGTAAACCCGTTTCTACTTGAAGTATTTAAATTGAGTTTTCCTGTTTACTTGTTCATTCTGGACTGTAAGTTTAGACCTGTGCTAGCTTAGAGAAGCATGTTTAGCCGACTTACTTGCTTAATTGTTTGACTGTACTATTTGTACTCTGTGAAGCACATTAGACTAGAAATTTCTATTTATTGTACCGATTTTAGCATATATTCTGAGATTATGAGTTGTTGTTGCTGTGTGTTTAATTTGGGACTACGGGACGGCTTCCCGGGAGATCCCCCCCTGTACTCGATATATTCTAAATTGAGGGTGTGGGATACCAAGAGATCCCTAGCACATGTATTTCTATATGTATTGGGATACCAAGAGATCCCCGGCTTACTTATTGAGGATACCAGGAGATCCTCGGGATACCAAGAGATCCCCAGTGTATATGATAAGGATACCAAGAGATCCTCGGGATACCAAGAGATCCCCAGTGTATATGATGAGGATACCAAGAGATTCTCGGGATACCAAGAGATCCCCAATGTATATGATAAGGATACCAAGAGATCCCTAGTGTGTATGATGAGGATACCGAGAGATCCTCGGGATACCAAGAGATCCCTAGTGTATATGATGAGGTCGGGATACCAAGAGATCCCTGGTGCATATGATGAGGATACCAAGAGATCCTCGGGATACCAAGAGATCCCCGGCTATTATTCCTTGTTGAGAGCAGTATTCCTTGTATTGTTACCTTTGCTTTCCACTACTGTTCTTCCTTATTTATCTGTTTAGATTCTCGCTGTAGACTTTATTTAAACTGTTTCCGTTATCTTATTATTTATTATGTTTTATCTCAGTAGGGCCCTGACCTTCCTCGTCACTACCCAACCGAGGTTAGGCTTGGCACTTACTGAGTACCGCCGTGGTGTACTCATGCCTTTCATGCGCATGTCTTTCATGTGCAGATTCAGGTACTTCCTCCCAGGCGTATCATCCCCGTGGTGGAGAGTCCTAGCTGAGACTTGAGGTATGTCTGCTACGTCCGCAGACCAGGAGTCTCTACTCTATTCCGGCTTTAGCAGATAGTTTCATTTTCTTTCCTTTTCATGTTGTTTATACATTCTGGTGTAGAGCTGACTACTATACTCTATTAGCCTGTGTTTTCTCGTGAGTTTCCGGGTTTTGGGTTTTAGTTGTAGACTTCCGCATATTTTTTTGAGTTGTATAGGCCGAGTGGCCTTATATACAGTTTTTGTTTCCGTATGTTCAGTTTTAATTAATTATTCCGCAAATGTTAATTGTTATTCCGCACTGTTAGGCTTACCTAGTTGTAGGAACTAGGTGCCATCACGACATGTTCATGGAGGGTGAACTGGGGTCGTGACAAGTTGGTATCAGAGCTCTAGGTTCATAGGAGTCACGGAACACAGGCCGGTTTATTAGAGTCTCGCTGATCGGTACAGAGACGTCTGTACTTATCTACGAGAGGCTATGTAACCGTTAGGAAAAATTTCACTTCATTTGATTCCTGTCGTGCGAGATTTTTGAACATCAATTCTAAACTTCCGACTTCTATTCTCTCACAGATGGTGAGGACACGTGCTACTCGAGATGATCAGACACCCGCGCCCCCTATTGCGGCCGTCAGAGGCCGGGGCCGGGGTAGAGGCCGAGGACGCGCGCGTGGTGCAGCCAGGGCACTTGCGCGAGCTGCCATCGAGGTACCACCAGCAGACCCAGCCGGAGTTCAGGCACCCGACACGCCCACGGCTACTACTACTCCAGCTCTTCTGGAGACTTTGGCGCAGTTCCTAAGCATGTTTGGTACGTTGATTCAGGCGGGATTGATTCAGGTTATACCGACTACTTCACAGATCGGGGGAGGGACCCAGACTCCCGCCTCCCCCACTCCAGAGCAGCAAGCTTCCATTGGTCAGGTTCCAGGTGTCATGGCGACACAGCCTGTGGTCCCAGTTCAGCAGATGGTGAGGACCTCTCACCGAGCAGGGGACAGGTGGGTCCAGGAGAGAGAGGACAGACGAGGTCAGGAGGAAGAGTATAGGGGAGTGAGTAGACCTCGTGGACCGGGGAGATATGCCGGTCCTTATTTTCGAGGCAGGGTGCGTCATGGCAGAGGTTTTGTGGGTCAGCCAGCTCTGTTTGCATCTCAGAGTTCCCACAGAGTTTCAGGTGTTCAGGGGTCTTGGAGTACCCGTACCGCACCGTTCCCACTGCCACGTCCTCCCAGAGCTTGTTATGAGTGTGGTGACACCCGTCATGTGGTGAGGGATTGCCCTAGACTTGGGAGGAGTGCACCTCCACAGACTGCTCAGCCACAGCGTGCTCTTTCAGAGTTCTCAGGCCATGATCACAGCTCCCTCTGCTACCCCATCTGCCCAGCCAGCTAGGGGCGGAGGTCGGGGAGGTAAAGGTCACTCTCGAGAGAGAGGCCAGGCCAGATATTATGCTATTCCTGCTCGCACCGAGGTTGTTGCCTCCGATTCTGTCATTACAGGTATTATACTGGTTAGTCGTAGAGAGGCATCGGTTCTATTCGATCCAGGCTCTACCTATTCTTCTGTGTCTTCTTATTTTGCTCCGCATTTGGGTATAGCCCGAGATTCATTGAGTTCTCCTATTTACGTTTCTACTTCCGTGGGAGATTCTCTTGTTGTGGACCGTGTTTATCGGTCGTGTTTGGTTACCATTCGTGGTTTTGAGACCAGAGCGGATTTATTGTTACTCGGTATGGTTGACTTTGATATTATTCTGGGCATGGACTGGTTGTCACCCCATCACGCTATTCTTGATTGTCACGCCAAGACCGTGACGCTGGCTATGCCAGGTATTCCACATATTGAGTGGAGTGGTAGCTTAGGTCACACTCCCAGTAGAGTTATCTCTTTCCTTAAGGCTCAACGTATGGTTGAGAAGGGGTGTGCCACATATTTAGCTTATGTGAGAGACGTCAGTGTTGACACCCCTTCTGTTGATTCAGTTCCAGTGGTACGGGATTATCCCGATGTATTTCCAACTGATCTTCCGGGCATGCCGCCCCATAGAGACATTGATTTTGGCATTGATCTGTTGCCGGACACTCAGCCCATCTCCATTCCTCCGTATCGTATGGCTCCTCCTGAGTTGAAGGAGTTGAAGGATCAGTTACAGGAATTGCTTGGTAAGGGTTTTATTCGACCCAGTGTTTCACCGTGGGGTGCTCCTGTTTTGTTCGTGAAG